AGACCGGGCTGCCGGACGCAGGGCTGGCGGCGGGTGCAGCGGGGATGGCCGGGGAAGATCAGGAGGAGAAGTGGGGGAGAACCAACCGGCCGGCCAGGAGGAGGTGAGAGGGAGAAGCGTATCAGCCGGTAGGGCGCAGGACTGACCTGGGCAGTGCAGATCCCAGGGCACTCCCACCCCCCACATGGTCCAGGGGAAGTGCGAGTCAGTCCGGCTGCAGCTCCACCACGCATTTGACCAGCGTGTCTTCTCATATTTAGTGCTTCCTTATGTATGCTTTGTCTCCTGGCAAGGCTAAACTACTCATTGCATCTACAGTTCCACTTTGAATTCATAAATCTATTTTTTTTTTATTTCCTTATCAGGCCATGGTCAAAGAAGCTTCTTCTTTCTTGTTCAATGCTACAAAACAGAGATTTTTTTTTAAGGTGGTAAAAATTATAATTCCTCTGAATTGGCAGCCAAAACTTGAGTATTTAAGTGTAAAAACAGAGTCATATGATAAGGTAAGACTTAGAACACTCTTTATAAAACAAAGTATTTGTTGTGATAATAGATACAAGACATAGGGTCTTGTCTACACAAGTAATAAGCACTATGGAAGTATGATTTCTAAACACACTAAGCTGTTGCTCAATAATTTGTCCTTGTAGACTGGGGTGGGGAACCTTTTTTGGGTTACGGGCCACTAACCCACAGAAAAATCAGTCAGAGGCCACACACAAGTGAGAAGCAAAAAAACCCTAACAAACCCTCACTGAGTGGCTCTTGACTGAGAAGGAGAAAGACACTCCCCACATTCCCCTCGCATACCAGAGCCCAGGGGAGGCCCAGGCTCGTTGATAGGGTTGCCAGGTGTCTGGTTTTTGCCTGGACAGTCTAGTATTTGTGGCCCCTGTTCGGTAAAAAAAAAAAAAACAGAAAATACTGGAGCGTGTGGATTTAAAGGCATAGTGATTTTTTTTGTTTTGTTTTGTTTGGTCAACAAGTTTTTTTTTTTTTTCCCCCCTCAATACATTTTTTCCCCGCCATGTTCGGGATTTTTTGTGAAAGTATCTGGCAACCCTACTAGTGGATTTTGTGTGATCCAGCTCCGTGGAGGGATGGTGGAGGGAATGGAGCACCAGAGTGGGCTCCCCAGTGCTGGAGCGGGGAGCCCCAAGACTCGAGGGCCAGATCCAGGACTGATCCTAGCCCCACAGGCCTTAGGTTCTCCATCATTGTTGTAGTCCCTGCTGAAGTATCCTAAATGTTCCCCGGGGTACGTTAATGTAATGCTACACTTTCGAAATCAGCTCCCACCACTGTAGTGCACATTATCTCACTGTGTAGACAAGCCCTAAATTTCTTTAGTAATGCACAAGCATGAGTTGTTCACTTTACAATTTGTATTGGCCTCTACAGCCTAGTCCTGCAGTCCTTACCCAGGAGAACAATCAATGGGAGTGATGCCTGAATAAAAGCTGCAGGCTGAGCACATTCAACAGAATCATGTCACTCTCCATTTCCTGCTGCTCTTTAAACAAAGGCTGTTTTATTTTTAGGCAGATGTTATTGTGGCTGATCCTTTCTTGAAGTATGGAGACGATCCCTACACACTGCAATATGGAAGATGTGGGGAAAAGGGTCGATACATTCATTTCACTCCCAGCTTCCTGTTAAATGACAATTTGCAAAAAATCTATGGATCACGAGGTAGCACCATGTGTTGGACCTTAATTTTCTGCTTTTGTTATTATAACTACACAATGGCCAAGATTTACAAAATAACTAGTCAGCTGGGGTGCCTCAGTTTTTGGTTGGCAAATATCAGGCTCCCTTAATGGGTCTGAAGTTGGACATTCAGAAATGGGTTCACCTAATATGACCAGACTCTTATCAAAATTTTGGCTAATATTTTTCTAGTAAAAGAGGGTTGTTTTTCCTTTTAAACCATTGCTTTAACTTGGAAGTATCATATATCCTAACATTACAGTGCAGTAAGCTATTCTGAGAGTGCAGTTACTGTAACCTGGGTAACATGCAGGAAAAACCAGTGCCTGTGGTTTCTAAAGTAGACCAAACTATCATGAGCTGATCCCGCTCTGAGAACTTGAGGGTTCTTATTGGAACTTCTGAAAGTCACATCGGCCCAACTACCTTTCTCATTAGTGTACATTCCTATGGAATTAACAATATTCCCATTTTGATGTCATCAGCACATTTTTCGACTGCCCACTTGAGGCCATAAATAAGGAAATAAAAAAGCCCCCATAGGAACCCCAATTTTGTGTAGAGTAACCTGCTGTCATTAATAATGACACCCCTCCTATACACATTTAACCTGGCGTACACGTTCACTTTCAAAACAGCTGTTGATCGGAGTAACGTCGGAGTAACGCTGGCGAGATCATCTTATGAAGCACGGGATATTTAAATCCCTGCTTCATTGACTATTTTCAATATCTACATTTGCATCCCTAGTTCGAACTAGGGTGTAAGTATAGACATACCCTATGGGAACAGGGATGTCAGATCTGTAGCCAGGTCTGTTATACTCTGGAAGGGTTAATCTGAACACAGTGATCTCCTTGGGTTTAAGGCCTGCAGTGAGTCTGGGGTGGTCACGGGTCCATTCAAGCACAGATCGTTGCAAGATGGGACCTAAATTTATTTAAATGACCTACTGAAATATAAAGTTAATTTTAAAGTGTTGTATTTAGAATTCACACATGCTCTGCTCTTCCACAGCCAAAGTTTTTGTCCATGAATGGGCCCATCTTCGTTGGGGGGTGTTTGATGAATATAATAATGATGCACCTTTCTACGTGTCTGTAAACTCTGGAAAAGCGAGTGTTGAAGCAACAAGGTACCAGTGTTTTATATTTTGTCTTTAGCTGATTAAATTTAAATAGCTCAGTGACATTGGCATGTACTGGTCTTCTGTGTTCAATTTGTACTTTGAGCCTTCTGTAAACAGTCTTGGCAAGTTAATCATAGAATTAAAAAAGATCATACAGTAATGCGTAACTAACAGTATTGCTACCCACAGATCAATCTCATTGAATTGTACCCACTATTATTTTATAATCCATCACATTTTTAACTCTAAATGAGCTTTTAATGTAGGTGCAATTGCAGTTTTGAGCTACTGTTCTCTACATTTTTATTTGACATGACTTTATCAAATAGCACTTAGCATGTAATAAATAAGAATGTTTTCTCAAGTTCCTCTGGGGAGTGACCCTGGAAAGTTCCAAAACAGTCTTACTAGTTCATGGGGTGTTTTTTTATAAATTAAAAGTGGATGTGGTCACAGTACATACCCCACTAGTGCCTGGTTTAAATGCTATTATGAAAATAGTTCCCTAAATTCTGTATATATACATTTTTAAAAATGTACAACTCTGTTAATGAGAAACAAAAAACAGAGTGAGACTGGATATCTCAGTGGGTTGGAAGGGATACAGAACTTTTCACCTCTCAGTCACTGGTCTGTACTGTAACAAGTTTGGTAGTACCCAAAACTCATTACCATCTGGCAGTCCATAATTGTTATTTGTGAAATCAATTGGTGTTTTCAGTCCAATTTCTAATGGACAAGCATGAACATCACAAAATTCTCCTGCACTTAGCATTCTAATTGGCAGACTCCACTGAAGGAGACTAAGACAGGGTTCCCTGCTCTACCCTTTTAACCACCCAGACATACTGGACATTTTCCAAGTTTATCAGCAATAGTGTGTTATTTATAGGTCTTCTCCAACAGTTGATCAATACAGCTGTGGGCAACAACATACCAGTGTACGTCTACTTCCTTCTTCATCCACTGTCTGGAGTGGCAGAGGGGAAGATCTCGTCACTGTGAGCTTCTGTATCTTCTAGCAGCTGTCTCCTTACACTTCCTTACTGCCTCTTAACTGCTCCCAGCTGATGGGTTCACTGCTCTCAGTAGCATACTAATCCCATGCCTAATTGCCTAAGTAAGCCATTAAGCACCCACCTCTTAGGTCAGGTCTACAATACAGCCTAAGTCAATGCAACTCTTGTTCCTCAGGGGTGTCAAAAGTTCACCTTCTGGTGAGTGATACAATTCCCCACTGTCCACACCAGTGCAGTGTCAGTGGGAGATACTCTTCTACTCACACACCTTCCACTTCTCTCCAAGGTGGAGTAACTGTGCTAAGAGGAGAGCACTTTCTCTACAGCCTAGTGCATCTTCACCAGACATGGTACAGCAGTGCAACTACATTTGTGTAGCTGCATCCATGTAATGCTATAATATAGACTTGCCCTCAGTAAAGCCCAATTCAGGGGACAATAACTAGTTCCTTAGTGACCAGCTGTAGCTTCCTAGAACACTGTCACAGAGACAGTGAGTGAGTGGGCATGGAGAATGAAGTACCGGCTCACTTCTGGAGAGCATCCCTCATGTGTGGATTAAGGCATATTGATGGAAACATGGAGGTACTTGCACTGTTAGGCTAGTACAATACAGTCACAACAATGACCAAGTCTTTAGGCCTATCATGATTCAAATAATAAACAGATTATTATTTGTTGACTGTGTGTGGCTTTTTAGATAAGCCTTTTTCTATCTCATCTCCCTTTAGGTGTTCAGCTAGTGTCACTGGTAAATACATAGTCCAAAGCTGTGAGGGAAACGGGTGCACAACAAGAGAATGCAAGTATGATGAACAGACTAAACTGTATGAAGCTGGATGTAAATTTATACCAGACAAAACACAAAATGCCCCAGCATCTATAATGTACATGCAGAGCCTCCCTTCTGTAAGTATTGTTACCTATTTTTGACACACAAGTGGATTGCCAGTACCTGTGGTCTTGTAGATTGTTTCCATTAGGAGAAACTGAAGATGGAGTAAAGCATTTTTTGATAATTCCTGTTTATTTACAAAGAATATATATAAAGCCCTGTTACTCTGAAGACAGCATGAATCAAACAACAGGAAGTATTTTCTTTGCTCATGATTCCAAGCCTCTTTCCATCTGTCACTCTGCCCAAAAAACGTCCCCGCTTCTTTCCAGGCAACATTTCCACTCCTTCCTTCCCCAGGCCTGAATTTGCCCCAGGTATAGTGAGGTGGCACCAGCTGGATGGACAGGCTTTTATTAACCTTCTTATTACCGGTGTAGGGCCTATTTGCCTATTCATCCCACCCAGGATCTTACTTAGGGCACTGCTCTCCCCTGCAAGCTCCCTTCTACTGAGAGAAAAAGTCTGAATTTCAGTGAGCACGCCTAGTCCTATGCTGGACACAAATGAGAAGGTCTGGAGCAGCACTAGACTAACTCTTCTGCAGGTCCGTCTATTAGATTTTGTGGGACCCTGAAGGTGAGGCAAAAAGTAAGGAGTCCAGAGTACAGGAGGGGACTGCAGTTGTAGCAGGGTGTGGGGTATGGAAAGAGGTGAGGCTCTGTAAGATCTGGGATGGCACTGGAGATAAAGTGTTTGGGGTGCAGAAGGAGGCTCCACACTGGATCCAAGAGGTTTGGATTAGAGGTGCAAGGGAAGAGGTAGGGATGGAGTGCAGGGTTTGGGTGGGAGTTAGGGCGTGGGAGAGGGCTCATGGAAGGGGGTGGGGGTGCAGGCTCTGGGTGGGAGAATGGGTGCAGGAGTGAGTTCAGAGCAAGAGAATGGGGTGGGGGTGCAGGGTATGGACAGTTGGGATGCAGGAGTGGGTTCAGGAGGTTGGGATGCAGTATGCTTACCTGGAGCAGCTCCTGTTCGATGGTAAATGCCTCAGGGAGAGGTGGAGGCAGGTGGCTTTGCACACTGACCTGCACTCATCTATGGGCATTGCCCCCTACAGCTCTTGTTAGCTGCAACTCCTGGCCTATGGGATCTGCAGGAGCGGAGCCTGAAAGCGAGGAAAGCAAATGGATGTAGCTTTCCAGCACTCACAGCAGGGCCAGGGAGGGACAGGAGTGAGTGAGTCACGTTTTCTCCCCTCCCCCACCTGTGAAGACCAGAATGCAATGGCTTTAGTGGCTGCAACACAGGGCCCAAGGCTAAGGGGGCCCTACGTAAAGATCTGCATTTTTGCAAGCTGGAGATCTTATTTCAGGGCCCCTTTATCCCAGGGCCCTAGGCTGCAGCTCTTAAAGCTCCTTTCTGAATCTGGCCCTGGTCTGGAGAGACAGATATCACCACATGAGTTGCGAGTTGATGTCCTCCATGGCATGGAGTTATTATAAAGGTGCATAACTCATGATCAGCGTTAATTAATTGCCAAGAAGGTAATATTGGAGTGCCTCCGAGGCTTGTTTCACAGCTAAGCCCTCTTTTAATATAATGGAGTAGGCCTTTGTTGGGACCAGTGTGCAACTCAGGAAGGGATGCTCCTCACCATCAGCCACCTCAGACGAGACAGGCCCCAATCCAGCTTCTGAAACTTCAGTGTGTAGCGGGGTGGGATGCAGAGATAGTTTCTTGACACTTTAAATGACTGCTTCTTGGAGCAGCTGGTTCTGGGACCCACAAGGGGAGAGGCTATTCTTGATTTAGTCCTAAATGGAGCACAGGGTTTGCTCCAAGAGAACCGCTTGGAAATAGTTTAACCTTTGAACCCAGCAAGATAATGGGGCAAATAATTAAGGAATCAGTTTGCAAACATCTAGAAGATACTGTGATAAGTTACAGTCAGCATACATTTTTCAAAAACAAATTGTGTCAAACCAAACTGATAGCTTTCTTTGACAGAGTAACAAGCCTTGTGCATATGGGGGAAGCGGTAGATATAGTATAGAGCTACTATACGATGAGTGCAGAACTGGTTCAAAAACCATTCCCTAGGCATGCTGGAAGGACATAATGAATGGGGTTCCACAGGGATCAGTTCTAGGTCTGGTTCTGTTCTATACCTTCAGTTATTCTGTTAATGACATACAGTGAACACTCACACAGTTTACAGATGATACCAAGCTTGCAGAGATTGTAACTGCTTTGGAGGATAGGATTAAAATTCAAAATGATCTGGACAAACTGGAGAAATGACCTAAAGTAAACAGGATGAAATTCAATAAGGACAAATGCAAAGTACTCCATTTAGAAAGGAACAGTTAGTTGCAGACATATAAAATGGGAAATGACTACCTAAAAAGGAGTACTGTGGAAAGGGATCTGGGTGTCATACTGGACACAAAGTTAAATATGAATCCACAGTGTAAAGCTGTTGCAAAAAAAGCAAACATTTTGGGATGTATTAGCAGGAGTGTTGTAAGCAAGACATAAAAAGTAATTTTTCTGCTGTACAGCCTCTCTCCGAGTTACAAATGAGTTATGGACCAAACACTTGGCCGTAACTCGATCTATTCATAACTCGGATCCCATTGAGTTACATGTGACCACTCTGTTCGTAAGCGCAGGTCATGTTCATAACTCGGGGACCGCCTTTATGACCACTCCATGGGAGCTTTGGTCGTAAGTGCGAATGGTCGTAACTCGACCGTTTGCAACTCGGGGAGAGGCTGTACTCCAAATTGATTAGGCCTCAACTGGAGTACTGTGTCCAGTTCTGGGTGCTACATATTAGGAAAGATGTGTACAAATTGCGGAGAGTCCAGAGAAGAGCAACAGAAATGATTAAAGGTCTAGAAAACATGACTTATGAGGCAACATTCCAAAAAACCTGAATTTTTTTAAGCTGGAAAAGAGTAGACTGAGTGGGGACATAAACAGTTTTCAAATATGTAAAGAGTTGTTACTAGAAGGATGATGAAAACTTCCTTCACCTCTGCTGATGGGGTGAGATGCAATGGGCTTTAGTAGCAGAAAAGGAAACTTATATTGGGCATTAGGAAAAACTTCCTAACTGTGATGGTGGTTAAGCATTGAAATAAACCGCCTGGGAGACTGTGGAATCTCCATCATTGGAGATTGGTACAAACACAGTCATCTAACACCTGTCAGGAATGGTCTAAATAATACTTAACCCTGCTGCGAGTGCAAGGGACTGTACTTGATGACCTCTCAAGTTTCCTTCCAGTTCTGTGATTCTGTTTCACTTTCTTTTCCAGTAATTTTTCTTCTTTTCCAATTGTTTTTTTTAAGGTGGTTGAGTTCTGTGATCAAAGCACTCATAATGAAAAGGCTACAAATATGCAGAACAAAATGTGTAACTATCACAGCACATGGGAAGTAATTATGAACTCGCCGGACTTCAGTAACACCTCTCCAATAAATAGCACAAGCCCTCCATTCGAAACCTCCTTCTTGTTGCTGCAGACCAAAGACAGAGTAGTCTGTCTAGTACTAGATGTTTCTGGAAGCATGAATTCGGTAAGAACAAACATAATATGCTTGTTAGAAACAGATAGTTATAAAACAGTGTGGTAAAAGCCCTTTGTTCTTTCTATTTACAGTAAAACTCCAACTGTCCGGCATCCAGTGGTCCAGCATTCCTGATAGTCCGGCACCAACTGGAACCCAGAAGTGCTCCAGCCAGCCGGACAATTGGAGCTCCTGTGAGCCCCACGCACACTCATGGGCTTGGAAAGAGAAGGAGAGGAGTGGGGAAGGGGATTATACCCCTGTGACGGGTCTGCCGGGACCTGCACTGCGGCCGGCCGGGGGGCGGGGAACAGCGTGGCAAGGGGCGAACCCTCCACCGTTTTGCAGGGAGACGGGGGAAAGCCCTGCACAGCTACCTGCTACAGGCCAGCTGGGGCTGCAAGCGGCAGCAGAGGAGAGGGGGCGAGGAGAGGAGCGGCGCTGCGGGACCAACCCGGCAGCACCCCAGATGCTCTGCCCCGCTGATTCCCCAACTCCGCTGCTGCCGCTTGCAGCCCCAGCTGGCCTGTCACCGGCGGCTGTGCAGGGCTTCCCCCGCCTCCCTGCAAAACAATGGAGGGTTCGCCCCTTGCTGCGTCATTCACCGCCGGCCCCCACCCCCAGACTCGTCACAGCCCTCCCACCGGAGTACCTCCCGATACTCCGGCATATCCGATAATCCAGCACCCCCTGGGTCCTAAAGGTGCCGGATTATTGAAAGTATTTTATGATCATGTTTATTCTTTTAGAAAAATAGAGACCATTATTTTTTCCATTGTACATATTTAGGGATTGCTAAAAAGAAGCTCATCAAATTGCTAAAATACTGTATTAGATTTGGTCTCTCTTTCCTTACAAAATATGTCTGTTCTTTTTTATCTTAAGCTACAGAATATCAGAACCATTGTACTTTCCCAAAACAGAAAATATATCATAGATGCAAGTTTCGTGCTACATGACTCACAAATTATTTTCAAAATAAATATGAAAGCAACTTTGTATATTAAAATAAAAGATGAAATACTTTACCTCATAATCATACATCCTAATGAGTCAAGAAGTTGGGTAAAGTGATAAATTGATGCTAGTTTAATTAAAGGAGTTTTTATTTATTAAAACTTATGCTAAAATTAGCATAAACAACGAGAAGCCCTGTGGCACCTTATAGACTAACAGATTTATTGGAGCATAAGCTTTCGAGGGAAAAGACCCACTTCGTCGACATGCATCTGATGAAGTGGCTCTTTGACCACAAAAGCTTATGCTCCAATAAATCTGTTAGTCCATAAGGTGCCACAGGACTTCTCATTGTTTGTGCATATTCAGACTAACACGGCTACCCCTCTGATACTTGTCACCGTGCAAAGTGCTAAAATTAACATAATTCCCATCTTATAGAAGCCCTTGTTGGTGACATAAGCCCTTACAGAGATTTTCAATCTGTTTTTGGGACTCAAATTTACTGTTCTTAGAGTAAATCCAATTGAGCCTCCCTAAATAAGCTGTGTGTTCATATGTATAAATATTATACAATACACAAAAATGATAGTCATGTAAGTTTGTCTCATATATGCAGTTTACTTTTTTTTACCTTTTCAAACTGCAGCTGCCTTCTGCCCATGAACCATCTCCTGAGATTTTATTTTTACATTCCAAACCACTGCCAAGATTTCAAGGGCTAATTTTATATCAATCTATGTTGTATTCTTTCCCCAATATACAGAAATTTCTTCAACCCTAATTTGATTGTTTCAAACATTCAGTCCTAAGCCAGTGACAATGTCTGTTCTCAAAAAAGTTACAACTTTGAAGTTTCATATCTCACAGACCTACAAGACTAGAAACGGGACCTTCCCACTAGTATATCTCTGGGAGGACAAGATCCTTAGCTTCCTTGTGGGTAGTTCAGCACCCTTTTTTGCCCTGGAGAGATCCCACATATCGCAATTTAAAACTGTGGTATATTTATGTCTGGAAAAAAATATGTACTTTTAAGAAGTCTTTATGAGCCTGGCATGGATTTGTGACAGGGTAGATAAGGCCTGACACCCTCATCTAGCAACCGCATGGCCCTGCTACGCTTTGACCCAGAAAAGGGAAGAAGAGAGGTCCTCCAGGTTGCATAAAGTGGTTGTGTAGGAAGCAGCCAATCAGGGCCTAGAAGCCTATAATAAGAAGAGCCACGGGCCTAGAGTAAGTTCCTTACTAGAGCTGGAGGAGTGTGTGCTTGGTTGAGGAAACTGCAGGACGTTGGATGAGACAGTAGAGCCAGAAGCTGGAGAGAGAGAGGAGCCCTGAGCTGGTTTCAGGAACTCTATCAGGGCAAGGCCCTGAGATGAGTGGAAATGACATGGGAATATGGTCAAGGAATTAGAACTGAAGAGGCCCTGACAGGGGAAAGACGTTGCCTTCCTGACATGTTACAGCAGTACAAATCCATTCCTCAGCAGACCTGACAATTTTCTTAAAATATCTAGTGCATTTATGATGTGATAAATGTCCATCATAGGAGACATATGCTATGAAATCACCTGGCTGGGAGACACAGCATGTAAATGCACCAGGCTTTCCCCTCTAAAGATAGTAATACAGATTCTGGGTCACAAGTGAAAGTGGTATTTTCTAATTATTATCTTTTCTCATCACACAGCCATCTGAAAAAGCTTATGTAGGTTAATACTGTGATAATGTTACACTTGTTAATGTCAAATTCACCCCAAAACTATTAAGAGACAGATTAGTTAACCAAGGTGTGTGCCTAGATTTCTAGAAATAAAAAGACAGAAATTGGCCCATCTCCTAATCTTAATGTGGGAAAAGAAGAGAATCCTTTAAAAAAAAATCAAGAATGACAAAAGCTAGTTTTATAGGGAAGAGAAAGTTTATCCTTGTAAGTTTTTTTTTCTATCTGGTTTTCAGCAATCTGTTCAAATATTTACATTTAAAATAAAAACTCTCTCTAAATTTAAAACAAATTCAAATTTCCAGAATCTGTAAAATAAGGTTGGGTTAGAGTAGGTAAAACGGCAGAAAGGTAAACAAATTACAGCCTCTTCCCGACTTACGAACCTGTTATGGAGCAAGCAATTGGTCATAACTTGGTTTGTTCGTAAGTCGGGCCCACAAAGTTACACGCAACCACGCTGTTCGTAAGCGCGGATCGCGTTCCTAACTCGGGCTCCGTCATTTATGACAGCTTCGGTCATAACTGCGAATGGACGTAAGTCGACCGTTCGCAACTCGGGGACAGGCTGTATGTGACACACAATCTTATTAATGAGCATGAGATTACATTATTAGAATGCTGTTTGGCTCAACCTGTTATATATCTCCTGGCAGCTTTAGTATGCAGGTACACTTTCATGATAGATAAACATGGCACACATCTCCATTGATCTTGAAAAAATAAGGCTGGTGGTGATATGGGGTAGTTTATGGTACACCAATGTTGGGAAATTAGACATCTACTATATATTCCTTGCAAATCTCTCATCTTCTTTCTGATGGATAAATTTCAATGTACAGTAAAACTCCGATAGTGCGGCATCCAACTGTTCGGCACTCCTGATACTCCGGCATCAAAATGCCAAGCGCTTCTGCTGATTAAAAAGCCTGTCGCTCAGCACTCGTGCTGGCTGTAACCAGACGGAGCATAAGGTTGGGGGAGGCGGGGGGAGGGAGTGGGATCATGTTACAGTAAGGAGAAGAGCGTTTTGCTTCAGTGAAGGGGAAAGGGGAGGGGAGGAGGGTTGGTATTAGTGTGGTATGTCCTGTGGTTGTTGAAAGAGCCAGACGGATACCTAGAAACCATCTACTTCAAGATAGGCCCAAGAAAACCAACAATAGAACACCACTTGTCATCACCTACAGCCCCCAACTTAAACCTGTCCAACACATTATCAATAAACTACAGCCTATACTGGAACAGGATACTAAACTCCAAGAGGCTCTGGGAGACAGACCCATAGTCTCCTATAGACAACCACCTAACCTCAAGATGATTCTTACCAACAA